TCCGGTGTCCGGGGAGAGGCGCGGTCGCGCGGGCGACACGCCCGGCGCCGCCGCGCCCGTCCTTCGCGCGCACGGTCGGCGCGCACCCAAAGGCCCACGGCGTCGCGGCGCCGGACCCCGCCCACCCTCGGCGTCCGCGGCGGCGGCTTGCGTGGCGGCGGCGGCCCGCGGCGGCGAGTCCACCGGCGACGCTGCTGCTTTCGGCCCACGCTCAACGGCGCCGCCCCACGCCGCCGCAACGCCGCGCTAGGGCTGACTGCAGCGGCCTCGGACAGCGAAACTCGGGCGTCTCTCCAAACGGCCCTCCGACGGCTCGACGCCAGCCGCGCGAGCGACGAGGCGGCGCCTTCGGCGGCCGGGTGCTGCGCCGACGAGGAGCCGACGACGACCTAGGGTAGGTTGCGCGCCCGACCCCTTTTGGCATAAACGTGCTCGCACTTCCCCTTAACCAAAACGTTTTCCGACACTTCCTAATCCCCTATTTACTCATTGTGTCTCTATTTCACTTCATTCCTTATATCTCGTTTAGTTCACTTACACATTCTGAACGTTTATTCAGGAAACCCGTCAAAACGACCAAAATATAAAACACCGCTTTAGAGGGGGATTATTGTTCTAGGAGGATAGACACATCGTTTAGAGCATGATTTATATGAAAAATATTATTTTTCAACTCCTTTGATAAAAAAGAATATTCCTAAGTCTGAAAATTACGGAGACTTACTTCCTCTATTTTCTCGAAGTGAGGGATTTGGCGTTTGACGGCATTTCTGAAATAAACGATTCCATCTTCCACATACCAGTTCTTCCACGAATCATGCAAAAAGTCTAACCATGCACTAGAGTTGCCAAGAACAGACAGTATATTCAGTATTTTTAAAACCATTTTAAAGATAATTTCTTTCTCTATGTGTCGACACAAATACGCAAAAAACAGGAGATAAACTAACTCACAGTAACTCTGTTAATCTTATGGATTCCTGTGATTTTCGTCCTGAAATGTTTTATTTATGTATCCGGTTCGCTGCCAGAGTGAAGTGCTTCATGTTTTCTGGTCGGCTCTGTTGCTTTGCTCGTGATTATAGGAAGCGTTGAGGCTTGCAAACTGAAGATCTATTGTTCAGAGAGGCTTCTCGCAATCCAAAGTTTTGATCAAAACCGAATTTCTTTTCTTTGACACTTCGAACAATGCTCACGCTGCGTGAGAGTGGCGAGCGCGTCGAGACAGACTGCAATTTTATATATTCGAATTTAAGAAAATTCTTTTTTAATCCGTTCAGGTAGTAATAACACTGCCGCTGGTTGTTAAAACATGTACCTATGATTGCAAACCCAGAAAGTCAAATTCTTTTTCTGCCACTTCCGCGTTGCCATGTTCTTTTGCTCCAACCGCCCTCCTCTCTTTCGTCCTTTGCTTCATTCGCCCGATTTAATTATTCACTCATTCACTAACTCACACACTCCCTAATCCCCTGCTTACTCATTGATTATCTATTCACTCATTCTTTATCTCGTTTATTCACTTACACATTCGTGCTCGTGTTCTCCCTTTAACCAAACGTTTCGCGCTCCTTCACACTTTACTCCAACCGCCCTCCTCTCTTTCGTCCTTTGCTTCATTCGCCCGATTTAATTATTCACTCATTCATTAACTCACACTCTCTCTAATCCCTTATTTACTCATTTATTATCTATTCACTCATTCTTTATCTCGTTTATTCACTTACATATTCGTGCTCGTGCTCTCTCTTTAGCCAAACGTTTCGCGCTCCTTCACACTTTGCTCCAACCGCCCTCCTCTCTTTCGCCCTTTGCGTCATTCGCCCGATTTATCTCTTCACTCATTCACTAACTCACACACTCCCTAATCCTCTGCTTACTCATTGATTATCTATTCACTCATTCTTTATCTTGTTTATTCACTTACACATTCGTGCTCGTGTTCTCCCTTTAACCAAACGTTTCGCGGCTCCTTCGCCCTTTGCTCCAACCGCCCTTCTCTCTTTCGTCCTTTGCTTCATTCGCCCGATTTATCTATACACTCATTCATTAACTCACACACTCCCTAATCCCCTATTTACTCATTGATTATCTATTCACTCAT